CCATCCCCCCATCCCCCCATCCCCCATCTGACAGACTGTCGTAGTTACAGCTTTTTCATTTTTTTGATAGTTAGGTTCAAAGTACCCACAAAGATGGGTTCCTTAAAAATATTTTAATTTAAGAAATTTGAGTAGCTTCCCCTGAGTTTTATTTAAGATGTCATCTTAATGCATTTCTGCGTTTTCCTGTAATATACCAATAATTTGTTTGGTCAGTTGACTCCATCTCCATTCATTTGGTCAGGGACACTCTAGACAGGTTTCAACCTATGTAATTGATTATTAAACAATTAGTGGAAAGTTTCACAGAAGACAAGTGGAGCAGACTGCTTAGACCAATGGTTTTTAGACTTTTTTGGTATGTTTGTTTTCTGTTAAACAGCAAAATTCTTTTTGCAAATGAAATCTGATGTGGATTCCTAACACTTCTAGCCTGACATTCCCCACCCTTGCCAATACCCATCAGCCCCACTCCCCTTTTCCTCTTCCCACCCCCACCCTGAGGAAGCTTCTGTTTGTGAAAAGAGATTAAATGAACAGTTGAACATTTCCAAATATATTAGGGAACAAACATTAATGATGACTGTTGTCAGTAAATATTGGATGGGAAAAAAATTTTATAATCACATTAATTTTGGAAACACTATGTTAGATAAAGTTAAATCTGTTCTTTAACTTCAAGCTTCTGGTAAATTCATATCAATTATTTGGCCCCAAAAGGAGAGATATATGCAACATCTGCCTAACTTACTTGACCATGAACTTTTTTTTTAAGAAGTAAATTGAGGAACTTTAGTTTGAGAAACTCATTTCTTTGTTTTACAGCCAAAGAAGTTGAGATAAAGAGAAATTAAATGACTTGACCAAAAAAAAAAGTAATAATGACTTGACCAGGGACACCCAGCACTGCCTTATTTCAGAAAGAATTCTAGGCAATTGTGACACCCTGCAAATTGGAGTGAAAAATAGAATCAAAGTTCCTTAAACATAGTATAATATTCTTTCTTTTATAATATAATGCCTCCCAGATTTGAGACTTGTTCCATAAAGTGTCATCTTTTTCTTCAGTCATTCATGGCCTTATTACTATTTGGATGCAGTGTTCTTCTTACTTCAAAATTTGTCTTCTATTTACAAATTAAAATCTAACAAACTACTGTAGCTCCATTGTAGGATCCAGGCAACCAGATCAAATATATGAGGGTACTTCAAAAAGTTTATGAAAAGATTTGTATTATCTTTTAATTCTTTTTTTTTTTTCCACAAACTTTTTGAAGTACCCTCGTACTGTCTAATAAAAACCTATCAATGGCTTTATTGCATATTGGATGCTCAACACTATGCACAATACAGGAAAATAAAAATGTAATATGTGATCCCAGAGAATAAGGAGATTACTAATTGGGATATAACATTTTTGCCCATTCAACAAATAGCATTCAACTGTACTAAAATTCAGCTGAACAACTGTTCATAATAGTAGTGGTGAGGAAAGCAGACACAGTCCTTCCCCACTAGAGTCTACATCTAGTGATATGCATTAAAGATTAGCAAACAGTACAAGAGAAGAATGGATCCATGTGTAGTAGTTTGAAATTAAAATCAGTATCAAGGACATTACTGGAAAAAATCACTGAAGATGTTTATAGTTTTAGCAGACAACTGAATAAAAAATTGAATTTTTTCTAATTGTTCTTGAAACATATGCTATTTCTCTGGCTATAATACTGAAAATGACAAAGGTTTGGATTATTCTAAGTTACCTTGTTAGCTCCCAAAGCCTTCACAAATTGAAGTATCATTTAAAATGTACTTTCTCAAATTTGTTGGTATCGATGACTGCACACTCACCATATATTTTTTCGCATACCTTACTAGATATAGCAAGTAATCTTCCAAGGCTTACAAAAAAAGATAAGAGATAAGCTAGTAGAATCTCCACATTTCAGAGTTTTTTCTTTGCATTGTATTTAAAAGGTTGTGTTTATGTTAATTGCATAATCTCTGCTATTTAGATCCACTCTTTTTTGAGGTTTTATGCTTTTTGCATTACAGTTGATGGAAATACTTGGGCACAAGTAATTGCCTTATACCCAACTTTAGTAGAATGCATCACTTGCTCGTCTTCAGAGGTCTGCTCAGCACTTAAAGAGGCACTAGTTCCTTTTAAGGATTTCATGCAACCACCAGCATCCAAAGTTCAAAATGGAGAATCTTGACCACCTACAATATATTTGAAAGAAGAAAGACATCCTAAAGAATGTTTGCTCCTGAGTCTTCTGTGAGAAGGACATTTCTTACTACAAGTAATTCTTGGCAGCTGTTGTTTGCCTCCTTTAAATTGTACTTACCTTGGTTCGGTAATTCATATTACAAGCTTACATGTCAATAAAGGCTCCTGAATGAATAGCAGTGCAAGGCTTTAAAAAGTTAAACTGAGGGGAGGGTTACTTAATACTACAGCATACCTGCTACTATATCTTCAATTGGTGAGTTAAAAGTGAGCTTATGTACAGTTTGTGGTGTATGTGTTAATGATGTCCTTTTTAAAAAGAAAGAAAAGATATTTCAATTCAGTCAGATTTATTAGGCTGGTGTTTTTGCACCCTTTTTCAAGTACAAAATTGTACTAAAATTTTATGCAAGATGGTACTGTAACATTCCACATTATCTATAACCAGCCTTTGTAAACAAAGGGAACTGATATACTTGTGTGTATAATAAATGGTACATTTATGTATAAAATAGTTGCTTATTATTTAAATTTTTAAAATATTGATAAGGTTAAATTCTTGAAGCTGTATTATTAACTCAAAATTGTTTGCTTACATCTTTACTTAAAATTTGCCTTCTTACGTAACAGATAAGCTCACCATATAATCATGCAGTTAGCTTCATGCTTATTTTAAACGTACTATTAGTGACCATTAAACATCTGTCCAGAAAGGTCACGTAAACACAGCAGCAAATAGTTTATGATTTGCTGATTTTGCAACTTTGAAATATAGGTTATTAACTTAATACATTGGGATATATTGTAGCACTATAACTCCATCATACCTCATTTTATTTAAATATTCTCCAAGCTTTCACCTAAGCCTGTGTGTTTTTATATTTGCTGTCTGGATTTTAAAGATTTTTCATATTTTATATTTCTACTGATTTTTTTTTTCCCTTGGCTAATGACATTTGTCACTGTCTTTTAATTATGACCCAGGCAAGATGACTTCAGATTTTCTAAAATTTTGCCTGTAGGTTTTGTTCATTTCAGTGCATTTTGTAATGTCTTCTCAAGAAGAAAAATAACTATGTTAACCCACAAGTATAAAATGTGTGTGTATTATAAAACAATAAGAAGTGTATTTTTGGAGATAGTCAAGCATTTAGCAGTGCAGTGAACTTGCTGTCATGGAGTAGAATGCTATTTTTGTTTCACTTTCCTATCACAGTGAAGAAGAAAAGTGCTCTTGAGTACATTGACTTGTTTCTTAAAAAACTGACTTTGACCTTGCTCACTGTATTTTTTATTTAATGGATTATGGTATTGTAATATTTTTCTTCTGAGTTAAATTTTCATAATCATTTATGTGAAGACACAAAGATGTTTAAAATAATGATTATTCATAAGAAATTATTTTAGTGTACTGGAAGGCTTTTGATTTTAATAGAATTTATAAATTTCAGCCTCTCCAGAATAATCATAAAACTGCAAGAAGATACTAGAATTGACTAATGAATGAGATATAATTTTGCGTTATTGTAGTTGTGTAATTATTTAATTTGCACTTTCACCTGTAAACATTTGGTATGGCCTTTTTTTTTTTTTTAGGGGATATTTTTATTTTCATGAATTAATGAATTTCTATTTTATTATCTCACCTAAAATTAAGGTAAAATATGGCATTTCATAGATTCTGCTTTCAGCATTTTCCTTAAAGAAAGTTAAAAAATATCATTCAAGCTGTGTATTTAGTTTATTTTCTATATTTGGGTATGTTAAATTGGGAATTAGAAAAATCTGCATATCACTGATAAAGTATTGAAACAAAATAATGGGTAGTAAACCATTTAAGTAACATGTTAAAAATATTGCCATGAATTTATATGAAGTAAAAATATGTCTATTCTTGAGAAATAACAGATCAGTTGCTATCAGAATAATTATTCTTTAGTAAAAGTTAAATATGATTCAAGGGTCTGCCACATACGTTTATGTAAACTGAATAGTTTGAGCTACTTCTGTATTAGCTTTCAATACCAGGACTATGCCCTACAGTTCAAAACATATAAATGTGGTGAATATATATGGTATATATACATATGACACATGAGTTTATATGGTATATTTATATGGTACTCGATGCTAGTCATAGTGTCAAGCTAGTGGGCTGCCCCTTTGGTAGTATAATTTGACAGGCTTTACTTCATAGAATGTCACCTGCAACTCTCCAGGAGTCACTACTGTACTGATAATTCATTTCCTTGAGTCAAGCATTCCTCCAGGCTGCATTTTCTAAAATATGCTGATCCCTGGAGAGGTTTCACACATTGCCCTTGTCTTGTTAGTATGAATTGGGTTCTTCAGTGACTAGAAGAACTAGGCCATATAAAATTACTAGATGCCAGGATATTCAAAAATGAAGCTCTCAAAGCTAAGATCATTTTATAGCACAATTGACTCTACTATAACTAGTCCTTGAAACAGTAGTAATAATGTCCTTTGAGATACCTGTTGGAAATACACACAATTTTAAACCTCACATGATCACTTTTTATCCTGGACAGTGCCTGTCTTATATAGATTTCTGGACAAGCGTATACCCAAATTGGATGATTAATAAAGTCCTTTTCTGATATTTTTGTCCATTATAAAGGAAACAAGTTATTTGTTAACTTGCATAGATTACTTTTTAGTCTTCCTTGATGCCACCACTGCCAAGAAAGAAAAAAGTAGGTAACTTTGTAGTGTCTTATTTAGTATTTCTTTATAACTAGTGTTAAAGTTTTGTTAGTTTTACTTTATACATTTGTGAGTAACATTTATTTATTAGGAGACTGTTAGGTGCCAAAAGAACAAAAAATGCTTAAATGTCTGGCCTAGGGAGAACTGCTTTTCACTTGCTTTCATTTTTAATGTTGTGAAATTAACAGCTACCATCTGTGTTGTTTCTTACCTGTTTTTCCCCTGTAGGTTATTGATTCAACTCTTGCTACATTCCTTAAATAGTATGTAGTATCAGAAAAGAGAGATAAACAATTTAGTGTATATGTCTTTTTCTGGAGAATAATATTAACTTAAATTACTTCTATAGCAGGCCAATAACCATTAGATTATTTGTATTTTTCCAATATAACCATAAGAGTATTTTGTTTATTGTCACAGTTTGGTACTGCTGGTCCCAGGTAACCATTAGGCCAAAGGATCAGTTAAGAAACTGAGAATGAATCAGCATAAATTATTGAACGGTGTTAGAAAATAACTCAAATGTATATTTCCTATTAATGAAGTGTTCATTATAACATTTGTGTCAACGAAGGGCAGTATAGTTATATAATGACTAGTATATCTCCCCAAATGTAGGATAATTCAGATGGGCAACCAAATCCTTAGGAGACTGCTGCAGGTAAAGTCTCTCTAGCCAAGGCAGAACACTTTCAGTAACGCACCTACCACAGATATTAACTGGAGGTTTAGAAGCCCCTGGAATGGATCAATGTACAGGCCCAGAATATTGTCGATAGCAGTTTTTTTTGTAGAAAACTATCACAAATGTGGGGGAAAAAAATAGTCTCTATGAAAACATTGCCAGCAGCGTAGTATATTCCTTAGATTTCCACTTACTACGTTTGGCATTTTGGCAGATAGGCTGATCCATGTAAAGTACCACATTTTGCTAAGCTTAGTGTTGCTGTGTTGTATTTATCTGCATTATTAGAGTGAGTTCTTTTTTTTTTTTAATTACCATAGGTACAATAGTTTTCATGAGAAGAACAGGAGTTCATACCATATGTTACCAGTTTTTATATGGTAGGAAAGTAGTTTTAATACTTCATGATCATTTGAATTAAAACTTTTGTATCTCGGGCTCTCCCAAGCCGGGGTGGTAGGGGGCCAAGGGCCTTGGCCATTGTCTCCCTGACACCTACAACCAGCACAGTGATGGCCAACAAGCTGCTGCAGGAAGCGCCCTGGGCTCTCCAGAGCCCAGGTGGTGGGGGTATTGAGGGCCTCGGCCATGCCCCCCGACACGTGCAACCAGCCCAGCAATGACCACAGAGCCACTGCAGGACATACCCTGGGTTCTCCCAAACCGGGAGTGTGGGGGGCTGAGGGCCTCGGCCATGCCCCCCAACACCCACAACCAGCCCAGCGATGGCCACCAAGCTACCGTGGGAAGTGCCCCAGGCTCTCCTGAGCTGGGGCAGTGGGGGGCCAAGGGCCTTGGCCATGCCCCCCCAACATATGCAACCAGCCCAGCGATGACCACCAAGCCGCTGCAGGAAGCGCCCTGGGCTTTCCTAAGCCAGGGCAGTGGGGGGTTGAGGTCCTTGGCACACCCCCCCCCCGACACCCACAGCCAGCCCAGCAATGACCAAGCCACTGCTGGAAGCCCCCTGGTCTCCCCTGTGGGAATGGGGGTGCTACAGGCATCAATCCCATTCATCCTCCTTTGTCCTTCCATCCCATTTCCTTCCCCTTTTCCCTCTCTGCCTCCCAACAGCTACACAACATCAAAGAATGTAAAAACATAATATTTTAAAAAATGAATAAAATTTTTGTATCTCTGGAAAGTAGTCTTTCATTTTGAATGAGGTTTTTATACATTGGGAAGGAAAGATAATGTCTTTATATCTTAATTTGTATACAAACCATTTCAGAGGAGTTAGATAAGAATACATTTATAAATCCAGTAATTTCGAATGCACTAGCAGTCTTGGCTCTTTAGCAGAGTATATGGTGGGTCCTTTGTGAATATGAATACTCTTAGTAATCTTGACTAATCGTGAGGCAGTGATGAGCTGAGGCTGCCTCATATTTAACTTCAGGCATGTTAACTTTTCAGTTTACTTATTCCTTAAACAGAGAATATGAGTTACTAATTTTTTAGAGAAAAATATATATATGATTTGAGTTTGGAGTTGATTTCATAATGACATTCTTAGGGTAATTCTGCAAGTTGTTTAATAAATTTATTGCTATATCCTAAGAGACTCGATCATTGACTATTTTCCTTCTCTTTTTTGGGTGTCACTCTCTTTCCTCCTCCTTCCCTCTTTTATGATTTTTTAAAAAATTTTTGTTTACCCTCTTTCTTATATCTTCCTCTGATTTTTTTCTTTTCATTCCTCTTTTATTCTTTACCTCTTCTCTTTCAGCTCTTTCTCTAATTTCAACTATTCTTTGTTCATAAGAAGCAGTGCTGTTAAATGGTAGAACTGCCGACTGCCTTTCTATTAAGTGAGATTCTGGAAATATCTTTTACTGTGGCCACTGTTGCCTTTTTGCAAAGTGAAGTTCCCCTGTCATTTCAAAATAGCTGAACAAGTTAAGGTAATTTGTGACTATAGCTCCTACTGTCTTTCTGAATCCACGGGATTCAGCAGCCAAGAGGCTCACAAAATGGGATTGCTATAAATATGATGGATTCAGCAGCTAAACTTGGAACAATCGTGTCTTTTCTGTTAAAAGGAAGTATTTAAAATTTGTTTACATGAGGGTTTTTTTTGCGTGTGTGTGTTTTGGCCTTTTTCGGACTTCCTTATTTGTTTTTGGAGGCAGATGCTTTGAACTATTTTAGATTTATGTTACCTAAATATTATTTATTGATTTATGATATTTGCACTGCCTACTTTGAAGAAGGATTTGAGGCAGCATATTGCCTGTGTATTTCACCTATTCCTGTTTTTCTGTTACTAAGGAGTATTCTTTGGTAGAAAATGGAGAATCCTATTCTCGTCTCTCAGTCTTTCTGGGGTATATTTGGTATCCATGTGCTTGGTGCTTACAGTGACACAGAGGTCAGTTAAAACATTCCTAATACATATACTATGGGGTTGATTTTAGCCACTCAGGTAAAAAAAAGAAAATTACTGAATTTTGAGACGATTTTCAGTTGCTGCAAGTGTAGTTTCATTAAGTTTTTTATGAACTGAAATTCAATAAATAGTGTTGCCAGGGAAGATCTGCTAAGGCATGTCATTATTTGGAAAACCATTGCAATATAATAACAACTGCTTTCTTCTATGAAGTTTTATTAGATCGGAGAAAAATTCCAAAGCTATAATATTGCAATCTTATTCTTTTTATCTAGAAAAATAAAGTATTAGGCTTCAGACCCAACTGTGCAAATTTCATTTGCTTTCCAGCTTTTACTACCTCTGTGTCATAATTTTAACACATAACATACAACTCCTGTCTCTTAAGGCAGTTACCATATGGTGTTTATGTCAGACTGGATATATTTATTTAATTTCGTGAGATTCTTTTTTAGTTCCCAACACAGTTCTTGAAAGTAATACCACTGTTGTTGTACTTTCTCCTTAGAATTTTTATATTGTTGAGATGTATCAGTTATGTTTTATAATCATGAAAGTCTCTTGGCCTCAAATTCAAATGTTCTTTGTAGTCTAGGATAGATTTTTCACAAAAGCTTCCTAGTTATAACTGTGATTGTATAGATCCTGAGTTTGCTTTACAGTTACCAATAAGTGTGATTCTAGGTTTTTAATTATGTTCCAGTAGTACTAGTTTTCTCATTATAACTTAAAATCATAACCATTTTGGTAATTTATCCTCAGATCCAATCAGTGACTCATTCATTGTGTTTGTTTGATCATCTGCATTAGATTCAAAACACTATTGACACCCCCACATCTTTGACTCTGTTTAACAACGTTATGAGTAATAATTCAAATATATTTATGATGACTTACATTTATGGTCGATTTAGA